AAACCCCCCCCCAAAAAAAAACAACAACACCCCCAAAAACCCCCCCCCAAACCCCTTTTCTTAAAAATAAAATAAAAATTTTAAAAAAAAAAAAAAAAAAAAAAAAAAAAAAAAAATTTTTTAAAAAAAAAAAAAAAAAAAAAAAAAAAAAAAAAAATCTTATTCGTCAAAAATTAACATATAAGTTGATGGGACAAAGTTGACAGCAAAAATTTGTTTTTCATTATGTAAAACCTGTTTTTAAATGCAATTTTCTGTCTGGTAACCCTGATTTTTTAAATTTTAGAGAGAGTATAAAACAGGAAAATCTCCTTTCTTCCGCAACACAGGTGGACGCCTTGAACTCCAGTTTAAACATCAAAGTGGCTTTTGGGGCGTGGAGGTTCGTGAGCTTGGGGTTAAGAACTCACTATCTACTTCGCGAAACACCCGGGGTGAGTCCCCAGAGTCAAGCTATGAGTACGGGGCCCGGGTGGGTTAGGCTAGTTGCAGGCTGAATGTGGATGGTTAGCAGTTTCGTTTTAGGCTGTTTGGTAGGCTCTCTGGCAGGTGATGGTTGACGTCGGGCTGGTTACAGCTAGTAGGGGGGAAATTTGGCGCAAAACCTACCAAACCACCAAACTTGCTAAAGGTTTTCCTAAAAAGTTAAGTAAGTTTATTCAGGTATACCAAATACGTTACATAGTTTATCTACAATAGAAATTTTTTGAAAACCCTGGTAACCCCAAAAAAAAAAGTGGGACAAAGTGACTTTTTTCCATTGGAGTCCTTATCCGATCAGTTAAAACGTTCAGTTAGGGAACTATAACTGTAGTGGGGAGAATGTTCAAAGAACAATTAGCTGTGCGCTGCGCTCTGTTCATTTACCTGAGCCTTTTCAAGTGTTTGCTCTAAAGGGTGATTTAGACACCCCTTTCCCTGCACTACCCTTACATTAAACCCGGTGTATCCCCCGGGGGAGAATGTTGGCACTCTCGTGAGTGGTGGGGTCCCAAATCCCAGAGGGGGTGCCCAAACTGCCATTTTTATGTAAATAATTGGGATATTAATTTCCAAAAGATTAAAAGTAAGATAAGATTTTGTTGGATTTTTCCCCGGGGGTTTTTAGCCAAAAGGGGAAATCAAAAAAAGACAGTGCGTCTCGGGGGACTGTTTTATTTCCCATTGTCTCCTCCGGGATGCACCCAACACCAGTCGACTAACACCGGCACCCACTGCTTGTAGGGGAACGGGACAACTGTGTAAGGAAATACGCCCCAAAGTTTCCCCCTTCCGGGGATGAACTTGGAACTAGCGGTGAAGGAAGGGGTTGCCACCAGGCCCTGGGCCACCTCAAGTAAGTTCATTTTGGTAAGGTACAATAAATACAACTCATAAAAACTTATGATGCTGCACCTTTCACTATGCCTTTGGGTGCATTGAGGTAGAGGGGGGTGAGGTTATGTAATACGGGGGGTACCTTTCCCCAGGTCATTTTTTAGGTCGATTTCGAAGGACATGGGCGGGGAGTTGGGCGACTTCGTAAACGGTGTTCTGAGCTCCTTAGCTCCGATTTCTGAGTTTTACCGAAGTGGAGTATATGCCTTGGGTGGAAGATGCTTCAAACACGAGATCAAAACTATTTCATGGAGGGTGAGTTTTCTCTCTCTCCTTTTTCCCCCTTTCTCTCTCTTTTCTTTTCTCTCTCTCTTCTCTCCTCTCTCTCTCTCCCCTCTCTCTCTCTCTCTTCTTCTCTCTCTCTCTCTCTCTTTTCTCTCTCTCTCTTCTCTCCTTTCCCTTTTCTCTCTCTCTTTTCTTTTTTTTTTTTTTTTTTCTCTCCCTTCTCTCTCTCTCTCTCTCTCTCTTTGTTGTCACAAGGGGGATACAATGATCTATATTGGTTTTTGCAAAATTATTAGCGCACTCAGTGAATTTGAGGTCCCCGGGTTTGATCCCTACGGGGGGGAAAAAATTAGTATAAGTTTACTTTTAAACCCTATTGTCCATATTACCTAACGTAATAGGTCTTTAAAGTTATTCAATGGGGTGGGTGCATCCTGGGGGCAAAATTAAACGCAAATTTCAGGCAGTGCTCTGAAAAACAAGGGATTTTTTATAACTGTATATCATTGTGTCAGCATAGTCTGTATAAGTTTAAAATGCCTTGTACAATCATTATTATGTTATTTTATTTAAAACCTCACTAAAAATTACTGCTAAAATTGTTTTATAATTACGCAGTAGGAAGGGGTCAAGGATGACCAGTTAACGAATATTTTGACCAAGTTTTTGCTAAAATTTAGGCGAAGTATCATAGAAAATGGACAAGACCCACTGTACCTCCCTGGTGACTCTGATAACTTCACTGTATCTGTAAGTTATTCTATGTATATATATTATATATATACATATATATACATATATACATATATATACTGCTCCTGCTACTATCAATCAGTCAATCAATCAAGTTTATTCTCTATAAGGATTACAATGCGGGGTTTATAGATTTTGGATATTGTGTGGTTTACATGTTATAAAATACTAATTACAGAGGGGGCCACTAGAGCACCTAGCATGGCTAGGCATTTCAGGCAAACTTAGATTAATTCTTAACTCTAAATTAATACAGATTATGGAGTAAGTTGGTATTAAGGCTAAGTGACTACATTATACTTTGTGAGTTTAGCAATGTAAATGCTTTTGTTTTGGCACAATACGCAGGTTCTATATTATAGTATGACTGGCAAACTTGTGACCAGTTAGGATTCATTATTTTATGATTAAGATTCGTATTTCTGTGATTATAGTGAAGTGGGTGAGAGTAAGTGTGAAGAGGTGGTTTTTATGTTGTTAGTTGTCGGGGTGTATCAGGGAGATAAGATGTTGAAGGTGATGAGTGTGTCTGCAGTTCTAGAGTTTTCAGGTAGGGTGTTCCAGATTTTAGGCCCTTTGACGTACTTAGAATTTTTGTAAAGGTTTAGTCGGACACGGGGAAAGTCGTAGAGATGTTTGTGTCTGGTGTTATGCCTGTGGATCCTGTCACAACTATCAAGAAAGCATTTTAGGTCAAGGTCAATATTGGAATTTAAGGTCCTGTAGATGTAGATTGCACAGTAGTAAGTGTGGATGTTCTGAACAGGGAGTAAGTTTAGATCTATGAAGAGTGGGGGGGGGGGTGTTGCTACTACTACTACTACTATCACTACTATTACTACTACTACTACTATCACTACTATTACTACTAGTACTACTACTACCCTCTCTTCCCTCCCAGGACCGAAACGCTCTCAATAAAATTACATCTTGCACTTGTTTCAGCTGTTCAACACGACACTTGAGGGAAACATCTGGGTGGATGAAGGTCGACTCCAAGGTCTGTCAACCATCCACCGTGCTGGTAACATGACCCTCCAGTATGTTGGAGTGGAGGATGAGGTCATCTGGGGAGGTGAAGTCGGCCTCATTGACCTCCAGGTATCATTATTCAATTCAAATTCAAATTCAAAGTTTATTCTCTATAAGGATTACAATGCTGAGTTTACAGAAATTTGGTTATTGTGTGGTTTACATGTAGTAAAATAATGATTACAGAGTGTACCACTAGAACGCCTAGCATGGCTAGGCATTTCGGGCAGACTTAGATTAAATCTTAAGTTTAAAATATTACAAATTATGAGGTAAGTTGGTATTATGGCTAAGTGACTAAATACTAGTTTGTGAGTTTAGCAATGTGAATGCTTTTGTTTTGGCACAGTACATAGTTTCAGTATTGGAGTATCACAGGATTCATTATTTTAAGATTGAGATTAATATTTCTGTTTATGGTCAAATGGGTGAGTGAGTGTAAGTGTGAACCACCAGGTGGTATTTGTGTAGTTAGTTGACGGGGTGTATCAGGGAGATAAGATGTTTTCTAATGGTAGTTTTGAAGGTGATGAATGTGTCTGCAGTTCTAGAGTTCTCAGGTAGGGTATTCCAGATTTTAGGGCCTTTGACATACATTGAATTTTTGTAAAGGTTTAGTCGGACACGGGGAATGTCGTAGAGATGTTTGTGTCTGGTGTTATGCCTGTGGGTTCTGTCACAACTATCAAGAAAGCGTTTTAGGTCAAGGTTGATATTAGAGTTTAAGGCCCTGTAGATGTAGATTGCACAGTAGTAAGTGTGGATGTATGAACAGGGAGTAAGTTTAGGTCTATGAAGAGTGGGGGGGGGGGGTGTGTTGCCAGGGATGGGATTTAGTGATTATTCTTACTGCAGCTTTTTGTTGGGTTATTATTGGCTTTAGGTGTGTTGCTGCAGTTGATCCCCAAGCACAAATAGCATAGGTGAGGTATGGATAAATAAGTGAGTGGTATAGTGTGAGAAGGGCATTTTGCGGCACGTAGTATCGTATCTTGGAGAGGATCCCAACCGTTTTGGATACTTTTTTGGTTATATGCTGGATATGGGTGCTGAAATTCAGGTTGTTGTCAAGGTATAGGCCTACTGGTCTACTGTGTCAAAAGCTTTTCTTAGGTCAATAAAAATTCCTAGTGGATATTCCTTATTTTCCAATGCTGTGTAAAGCAGATCTAGCATTTTTATGATTGCATCATTAGTGCTTTTATTTTCCTGAATCCAAACTGGCAGGGGTTGAGTATGTTTTGAGCCGTTATAAATGAATACAGTCTCCTGTGCACGAGTTTCTCAAAGATTTTGGATAGCAATGGTAAGTTAGATATTGGCCTATAGTTGTTTAAGTCTGTAGGGTCACCACCTTTATGTATTGGTGTAACCCTTGCCATCTTGAGTAGTTTCGGGAAGGTGCTAGTCTCTAGTGACTTGTTAAAAAGTAATGAAATTGCATGCGAAAGGACATGGGCCGCTCGCTTGTACAGTAATGGTGGGACATGAGACAGATTCCCCGAGTTATTTTTAAGTGACTTTATAATCTCGGTGACTTCCGTGGGCTCAGTTGGTGCGAGATAGAAGGAATTTGGGAAATTCCCATCTAGGTAGTCCCCGGCATGGGCATTGGTATGTGGGATTTTACTGGCGAGATTAGATCCTATGGTTGAGAAGAAGTCGTTTATCTTGTTAGCTGTGTCAGTGGGATGTAGTGGTGTTTCATTAGGTTTAGTTAGGACAATATTCTTGGTTTTTCTCAGTTTGTGGGTCCCTAGAATCTGAGAGAGTGTTTTCCAGGTCTTTTTTATATCTCCTCTAGTGTCTGTGAATCTACTGGAGTAGTATAGTTGTTTGGCTTTCTTTATTACTTTGGTGAGAGCTGATGAATAGTGTTTAAGAATATCTTTGTGTATTAAGCCCTGTCTATATTGCTTTTCATATTGGTGTTTCTTGTCAATGGATTTCAGAATGGTGCTGGTTAGCCATGGGCAGCCAAGCCGTTTGTTTGTGATCTGTTTTGTTTTTATAGGACAATGTTTGTTGTATAGTCTAAGTAATTTGTTAAGAAAAAATGTCTGTCCAGTCATCAATACCATTGGCCTTGGAGAATTCTGTAGGCCAGTCAACAGTCTCTAGGTCAGTTGTGAACTTCCTTACTGAGGCCTCGTCATGGAGTCTAAATGAGACTTTGTTGTATTCAAGTGGTGGTTTACTAATGTTTGTCAGGAGGAAGGTAGGGTAGTGGTCTGTAGTGCTATCTGTGATTATCCCTGATTTAAGGGGGGCTAGTATATTGGTCCATATGTGGTCTATTATGGTTGCACTTGTCTCAGTGAGCCTGGTTGGTTTAGTTATTGTTGGTATGAGCAGTGTGTTGTTCATATTGTTGATGAAACCCAGTTACAGGTGATCATCTAGTAAGCCAAGGTTGATATTGAAGTCTCCAGCTAAGAGAAGGTGGTGCTTATTCATTTGTCTGTTTGTTATTAGTGACTTTAATTTCTCACTGAAATTTGGGATGTTTGTGTGAGGCATCCGGTAAATGGCACCGATTGTTATAGGCGTCTTAAGGTTTTTTACAGTAAAATTGCAAAAATGTATTCCCATATTCATCACTAAAGCAAGTGGTGCTAATACAAGATAATTGGTTAGAGTAATAGATTGCAATACCACTCCCAATTTGGTTTGGTCTGCATTTGTGAATTGCTGTGTATCCTGGTAGAGGGTAGATATCTATTGTGTCCTGCTTAAGCCAGGTCTCAGTAAGAATAATGCAGAGGAGAAGGGTGTCTTTAGTGATTCAAGGAGTGCTAGGAGGTCATCATAGTGTTTGCTTAAGGGACCTGATGTTGTAGTTAAGTACTGATAGACTTTTAGCATTGTTTGGATAGTGGTGGCTTGTGATGCTGTGTAATAAAGGCAGTTACTTTCCAATAGGTTTTGATTGGGTGTCAGATTATGGAGGTTTAGATCAGGGTCAACGTGATCAATCATCTTCTAGGTTTAAATTATGGTTATTTATATCCTGAGTTGTGTGTTGAGTTCTAGTACTGATATCTGTAGTGGTGGGAAGTTTGGACAAGTATATAGCTAGAGTATTTTGGCATGTAGGGTATAGTCACTACTACACATAATGGGAAATTGATGTTGGGCTATGTGTTGTGCTGGAATGAACTAAAGTACAACTAGGTATAAACTAGTAATATAAAAATACAAATTAAAAATAGAACAAGACTCTCACTTGTAATCGCACTAAGGTCTAATAATGACTTTTGTGGAGTCTATGTTTTGAGCTAGAATGAGCTATAGTACAATAGGTTTAATCTAATAATATAAAAATACAAATTAAAAATAGCACTAGTCTCTCACTAGTAATTGCACTATGGTCTAATATAGTGAATTTGGTATTGACTATGTATTGAGCTAGAATGAGCTAGAGTAAAACTGTGATTAATCTAATATATGGATTTATTATTATTATTATTATTATTATTATTATTATTATTATTATTATTATTATTATTATTATTATTATTATTATTATTATTATAATTATTATTATTATTATTATTCAAAGTTCGCTGGTAGACAGACATAAACAGGAAAAAACAAAATACAAAGAACCAACAATAGGTAAAAAGCAAAGGAACTGTGAAAGGAAAAAAAAAATAAAATCCCTAGGTGACTTGTGAGTCCTCGGTGACGACCAGCAGGTGAGGCCGGACAGATACTCTCATTTCTATACTAATATTACTAAATCTATTTGCAATTTCTGTCGTTTATATGGATTTTCTCTTTTTCAATCTCTGCAACAAGGGATGTATTAGTTACTTGTGGTGGTGGGTGTGTTATAACGGAGGTGAGCAAGAGAGGGCAGGTGGAGTGGAGGCTGCAGTTGAAAGCACCGGCCGCTGGATAATTGATCGCTTTAGCTATAAATATCCACTCAGAGATCGTGTCAAATGCTCATTGAGTTTGATAACTCTGAACGGTCCGTCGCTACTGCCACCGTCAACGGCACGTTTCTCCCGTCATCACGTACAGATAACGAGGGAAACCTCGTTTAGTAACCCTCTCGGGAGGCTTCTCTCATCTCTGTAACCACCAGCATCATCTGATGTCATCTCGCCGGGTCTTAGACACACTCACACATCCGTAGCACTCCCGGGGTTCGTAATAGCGAGGCTGATCATATTTTCACTCACTTATCGAATACATATTTACCGCTTAATATAATATATATATATTGTGGCGAGGGCGGAAGCCTGATAGTTGGTAACTCACATTACTGATGGACGTAAATCACGGTACCTTGTCCTGCATGGCTGACCACTCTACTCTGGCTACGCGGCGCATCAACAACACTCTGGCTGATCAGAAAACAGCCCTGATATGAGGGATCTTAGATTATATATATATATATATATTATATATATATATATATATATATATTTATATAATATATATATATATATATATATATATATATATATAATATATATTATATATATATATATATATATATATACATATATATATATATATATTTATATATATATATATATATATATATATATATATATATATATTATATATTATATATATATTTATATACATATACAAAATGTATGTCAAAGCAGAGGAAAAAAATCCTGCAGGTAGGGATTAACACATTTCGACCTCCAACCGGTGTCCTCATCAGCAGATCAGCTGAAAAGAATCCCTCCACATTTTTCTATCTTCATTTTCTGACATATTTCCAACTGTAACTACACATAAATGCGAGCAGCAGAATGGATGCAGTTCAAACACGCAACCTGCAGTTATTTTACCATCAAACTTGCTCTGTGCTTTGTATTTTTAATGTTAAAATTTGAGAGAATAACAAACGTGTGCTTGGCAGGTTGAGTACGCCTCGAGGTTGACCTTGGCTTTCTTCGGCAAGGAGCTCAAGATCTTACTTAAGATGTCCTTTGTCCACATCAGCTTTGAGACCGATGTGTTCCTTCACCAGTCACAGCTCACCTTTGCTTACTGTAACATCACCGAGCTGGGGTGAGTGGGGTGAGTGGGGTGGGTGAGTGGGGTGTGTGAGTGGGGTGTGTGAGTGGGGTGGGTGAGTAGGGTGTTTGTGGGATGAGTGTGTGGGGTGTGTGAGTGGGGTGTGTGAGTGGGGTGTGTGAGTGGGGTGTGTGAGTGGGGTGGGTGTGAGGGATGTGTGAGTGGGGTGTGTATCTGCTCAGCAGACCTCTTATAAGGTCGAGTCTAACACTGTGTCTGCTCAGCAGACCTCTTATAAGGTCGAATCTAACACTGTATGTGCTTAGCAGATCTCTTATAAGGTCGAGTCTAACACTGTGTCTGCTCAGCAGACCTCTTATAAGGTCGAATCTAACACTGTATGTGCTTAGCAGATCTCTTATAAGGTCGAGTCTAACACTGTATCTGCTCAGCAGATCTCTTATAAGGTCGAGTCTAACACTGTATCTGCTCAGATCTCTTATGAGGTCTAGTCTAACACTGTACCTGCTCAGCAGACCGGTACACTTCAAGGAGAAGGGAGCGGGACCCCTGGACACACCTCTCTACAACCTGCTGGCCAACACTGCTGTAGGAGAGTTACACGCTCTTGTCTCCAGCACTCTGCAGGAGGTTGTCTGCGCTTTGCTGGAAGACGTCTTTGCCACGGGATAACCACGTCTCTGATTTTAAACACCAGTGGTTGTAACGGTGGTGGTGACGGTGGTGGTGACGGTGGTGGTGACAGTGGTGGTGACGATGGTGGTGATAGTGGTGGTTATTCTTAGTAACATTGGCACTGCTGTTGCTGCTGCTGCTGGTAGTAGTACTACTACTGCTACTACTATGGCGACTTCTACTACTACTGCTCCACGTCGTACTGCTACTGCTAATACGACTGCTGTTACTACTATTACTATTGCTACCGTTACTGCTGCTAGTGGTACTACCACTACGACCACTACTACCATTACTACCACTACTACCACTACTACCGCTACTACCACCACTACCACTACTACCACTACTACCACTACTACCACTACTGCCACTACTACCATACTGCACTACTACCACTACTACCACTACTACCACTACACCCTACTACTACTACTCGCCTAAAAATACTACCACTACT